TCTACAAAGCTTGCACAACAACCACTGACATTTCCCTGCACCTCAGTGTAGTGTTGAAGTTGCAGATGTAGCAGTGTAAGACCTGACAATGCTGGCATCCCAGGATGGTTGAATACATAAGCATATTGGCATAAACTTCCTTTTCCAGAGAGATTTCTGGGACCCTGGAATGGGGTGACATGGGGAGAATGGTGTGGCCCTAAGGAAATGTAATCATATGTCTGTAATGCTCACATGCAGGGCAGTCTTGTTCAGTCTTGTCACAAGCTGGTCAACTTGACCTTCTTGCACAGATATGCCTTCAGATCCTTGCTAGTATCGATAAAGATTCTCCTAGTTCAGTCTTTTAGCTTGTGTTTTGCCTCTCTATTACCTTGAACAGACACAATGTAGTATTCCACATGCATTAATTTTGTTGCACAAGCTTTTATCCATGCCTTTTCATGTACATTCTCTGTCATTCTCCCTTGTTTGTGCATCTCTTCCCTTCTTTAGGCATATGCAGCCTAAAATGGTTTGAGGTTCGCACCTTTACCTGATTTATAATCTGTGCATAAATACACCTGAAATGTTAGTATTTCTAATATTTAATTCACTGGGATCATTTTGTAACAGTTTTAAGGCTTTGGCTTCTACTATCTGAATACTGAAACTTCTTAAGTAAATGGAAATTGGCACTCAACCCAGATGCAAGATAGATTATTTTGCATAGTTTTTGTAGTGATCCATCCAAATCCCTCCATAGGTACTTCTGGGGACTGCTGTATTAGTGAACTGGCCATGAAGTTAGGGTTTAGTTTAAACTTTTCTAAAACTTATTTCAGTTTAATGAAAATTAATTTATAGTTTTAGACCTACAAAAATACAGAAGGCTGAATTCTGGATGGTGAACAGAGCATTATTAGGTATCCCTTTGCCAAGAGCATATTTAGTGCCCTGAACAACTCCCACCAATACTATCTCATCTGAATAGATTTCCATCAAATGTGAGCAAAAGTAACTCTCTTTCTTCTGTGTCTCCAACATGAAACAGAATATATCCTTTATTTTTTCAATTTATATTTGAGCTTAGTCCATTTATTCAACTTACATCCTTTTGTTCTGCAAGGAACCTAAGGCTGCCTAAATACTTCTCTTCATCCTCTCTATTTCATCCTCACAACAAACCTTTGAGTGAGTTAGACTGAGAACCAGCCATTTGCCAAAAGCCACCCAGTTAGCTATATGGCTTTGGGTACTAGAAACCACATCTCCAAAGATTCAGTCTACACTTTTGCTAATAAACCCATAGATTTATTTCTGATGACCATGTTACATAACATCATTGAGGCTTCAAGGCTATAATTGTAAAGAATATACCACAAAAATCATCGTCCAGCAACATGGCCTTTAAATAACAGTGATTTTCTCCAAAGAGCTCCACTCAAATACCCATATGTTATGGCATATCAAACCAAATAATCATTCTTTGCTGAGTTCTGAAGAGGAAGAACTTGATGATGTGTGCTGCAATGCAATATACTAAATTCTCATGTGTATTGAGTAACTCCTACCAATCTCTCCTAATTATATCAACACGAATGTTGAGCACTGAGATTATGATTTCCTGTGCACCTCTGCTGCTTAGTTGTGTTGGCCTCCTGACAATGCCTTACCTGCAGTGGAGATCATGTGTAAATTGTGCTTTAAATTGTAACAATGTCTCAATGTCAGCACATCCAATCTGTTTTGAAAAAGATAACGGTAAATTTATGCATTCAACCCCATGGATGACAGTAAGGTAAACAATGCTCTAATATGGTAAAGAACAGATTATATCTGGAGCTTTCATTATTACTGAGGATTTTGCAACATCTTCATAAAGGGCAGGGGTGGCATGACTGAACGAAATCCTTCCTCATTCCTGATAGAGCAGTTTCTAATTTCTAAAAGATACACGGATATGGCAAGGAATTTAGCCACCTTGATGAATGTACGTTGGTAGGGAATATATTGTAACTGGAGATGAACATCATTGCTAAATCTTGGTTGGTGTGTGGTTGTCATGGGTGGTGACAAATCTATTTATTTATCTATCCATCCATCCATCCATCCATCCATCCATCTATCTTCCTTCCTTCCACCCATCCATCCATCCATCCATCATCTATCACCCATCTATCATTTATCTGTCTGTCTGTCAGTCAATCTATGTTCCTTTTGGCCAGGGCATCAGACAGTTATCAGAATGTAAGATGCTCACTGCATGGAGCAACCAAAGCATGAGGACAGTCTAAAAGCTGCCACCTCCAACTCATTTTATTTGGTAGTTACCATGCTAGTATAGAGACTTTCAATTTGCTAAGGATGAAGTATAAAATGCACATTTACATCAAAACATCCACTTGAAGCCCTGTAGAACTGTACCATAATCTAATATTACTGGCATAATGAAGAGCCCTTATTTCTCTTCGGAAAAAAAAAAAAATCAGCTTCTGATCAGTACTTTTTCATACCCAAGTAAAATGAGCTAATGAGTATGCAGCAAGTTCCACATGGACCAACATCATGTTTAAAATATTCTTTAGCCATGTGTCCCAACGGTGTATACGGTATCATTGCAAACATACCAGGGCACACACAATCTTCCATCAGCGAGCCATTTTAAACTTAGGACAAGTCTCCATTAAATCAACTCTCATGCTCTTTCTCAGTTTATTTCTTCTCTATTCAATGTGTTTCCTTCAACAATATGTTCTAGCAACACTAGGATAGGTTCAGATATTTAACGCCAGCATTTCAGTATATCCAAACTGTACATCCAGAATGTGGCAGATATGGGCAGTTGGCAGGTGTTAGACATTGCCAATCATTCAGAGAATGGGGAGTTAGATTATTCTTCATGAAAAGACATAATATGATGCAAGTTCTTTCTCTGGACACTTTTCATTTTTCAGCACTGGTGTTATAACACACAAACACACATGCTGTTTTGTTATGTTAACTTCCTGTGACTATGGTGTGAGAGCAATGGATTCAATCCATGTATCGGTGAGTACTTTGCAGTTGTGTATCTAGATACTTTACCAACATTGATGTAAAGTATTTCCAGTTGTATTGTAAAGAACACAGCATCTCTAGTTTTATAATGTGTACTTTTGAAGTTCTACCAGGATCATTAAGCTGATTACACTCTTCAAAAAAGCAGAAGTGCACTGTGATGTAAGCACCTGCATGTGTGATCAGTCTTCCCATGATAGCAAAAGAAGATCCTAATGAATTTGCACTTATTTTTGCACATTTGTTCCACTGAAATGAATGACATTTTCCTATCTACTGATATTTCTCCATGCCCCGATTAGCTAAAGCTCATCACTTGATCAAGAATTATGGTTTAGTTATTTTGGAAAATGATACATTATGGTAATCGTATATGTGCATACTTTGATACCAGCTAACCCAACAATATAGAATCATTCCTTTTTTCTCATGCTAACCTTTTTACTGCTTCATTTATATTTAATTTCCTGGGGTGCTCTTTTATTTTACGCAGCTAATAGTTGAGTTAAACTTTTTGCCAGAAGAATGTCTTCTATGCTCTTGGTTTCAGAGGTCCATGTTACTGACTAACCAGCTAGAAGCTATGTAAATTTACACAGAAGTTGGTCCTACCATGAGCAGTACACAATTAGAACCATGGAATCCAGTTCTCTACACATGCAATAAAGAAAAGGAATAAGCAGATCAATTTATTTCTGGGCCCTATTGCTTTTGCCTGCGTTCACAGATAAAGCTGTTCCATTTCATTTCCACTTTGAACTACAGGAAAAAATGCACCAAAATTTGCATCTCACCATGTGCTCAAATATATGCATGTTAAATGTGCTTTCTTCTGGTATATATTTCTTATTATGCTCAACATTCTATTTTCACAGATTTAAAGCACTTTGAACTGCATTTGAATGTGCAAAATGTGAAATCTAGTACATAGGTAAGTTTGATTCACATATCAGTCAGCCGAGAAACAGAGATGAGTTTAATTTATCTTGGAATTGACAAGGAGCAATTTTTACCTCCATCAATATCCTTGGAAGCAAGCTCTTTAGACTTACTCCCATGCAAGTATGCACAACACTGTGTCTTCTAACAACAAAGAAATAATGCATTTTAAAATTGCTGATATATTCAGTTGCTGTTAAACTTTTTTTTTTTTTAAGACAGCTTATAATGTTATCATGTAAAATCAGATGATAGGGATTTTCACACTGTAAAACTAAATCTTTTTGGCTTCTAGATTCTTCTGCTTCAGACCCAATTCTGTTCTGTCTTCAGCTGCCAACAAGTAATCAGTTCCTGAATTAGGATGCTTCTCATTATGATACTTTCCCCAAACTTTCTCCTGATAATTCCTTCTTTTTTCCCCTTCTATCCAACCAACTTTTTGCCTGCTCTACCTTTTTTCATTTTTGTTGTTTGTTGAAGGAGATATGAAATCCCTTATAAATCCCTTTTTGAGTCCCTTACAATAGTTTAGTTCTGATTTTCCCCTCCTTTTATATGTTCATCATATATGTCTGCATAGAAAAAGGGATAGGGACTATGTGTTCAGTGAAATGAGAGGAAATGAATGCTATTTGAGAAGGGATGTATGCATCCATCTAAAGCCAAAGTCTGCATATTTGACATGCCAAATGGTATGAAGCTTACACACACAAAACTGTCTGAATAGATTCTCCCCTTTCCAACTTTTCATGAAAGAGCAGACAACAGGGGCAGAGCTGATGGGGAAAGACTTGCTTCCTCCTCCATGCACTTGCTAGATGTAGAAAGAATGAAAAAAGCTACTATCGCAACAACTTTGAAGAGCAGACTCAATTGTTTGCCCCCTAGTGCTTAAGGAGTGGAAATCTGGGGGGGGAGGGTCTGATAAGTTAGATGAATCCCGTTAATCAGGGGCAACAGATATACAGCTGTCTTTTTCTTTGTCTTATAGGTCACATGAGAAGAAGTAATGAGAAAAAATGAGTAATCATACATCTGTGTCCACATTTGTGCTGCTGACATTTTCAGACATCCAGGAACTTCAAATCTTATACTTTTTTGTTTTCTTTGCCTTGTATTTGATGGCATTTGCAGGGAATCTTCTCATCATCACTACAGTTGCCCTTGATCACCACCTGCACACCCCCATGTACTTCTTCCTGATGAATTTGGCCATGCTGGACATTGGAACAGTTTCCGTCATGGTACCCAAAACTATGGCTATGTCCCTCATGAATGACAGGTCAATTTCCTATTCAGGATGTGTTGCTCAAGTGTTCTTTTATTTCTTCTTTGCTGCATCAGATCTTGCCATCCTAACTATAATGGCACAAGATCGCCGTATTGCAACCTGCTTTCCGCTTCAGTATGAGAGAATTATGTTCAAGGAAGCCTGCCTTCAGATGGTAGCCATTGGGTTGTGTTTTAGTCTTCTTTATGCCATTTTACACACTAGTGGCACCTTTGCAATCACCTTCTGCTCCAATGTTGTCCACCAGTTCTTCTGTGAAATCCCACAGTTATTAAAGCTCTCCTGTTCAGACATCTACCTAGTTGAAGTTGGGTTTCTCATACTAAGCTGTAGTATAGCACTAGGGTGCTTTATCTTCATTGTCATAACATATGTGCAGATCTTTTCTGCTGTGCTCAGAGTCCCCTCTGTTCATAGTCAGAAGAAAGCCCTCTCCACCTGTGTTCCCCACCTCACTGTTGTCTCTTTGCTCATCTTCAGTGGAGTCTTTTCTCATGCAAGGCCTCCAAGTGATGCCTTTTCTGACCTGGATATAACTTTTGCTGTGATATATGTTATAATGCCTCCCTTGTTGAATCCATTCATCTATAGTGTAAGAAACAAGGAGATCAAGACCGCTCTGTGTAAGCTGTTTCAATCAGGGTCTTGACTTCAAGAGAGTAGTATTTAATTTTATTATTTATGCTTATATCCCAGCTTTTCTAGTAAGAAACTCAAGTGGCTTTCATAAGCCTGCTCCTTTCCTTGCCAAACCTTCAACAGTCTTGTGGAGTTAGGCTGGGCTTCATTCCTGAAGGAACTCAGATCTCCCAAATCCCATTCCCTTCCCTCTTCCATCCTGTATTGTATGACTCTCCCGCTGAGATTTGAGCGGGCCAGAGGATGGGGTGATATGGGAAGGCTTCTATGACCACTTAAAATATTGTGACCTGAACAGGTAGTCATGAGCCCACCTATAATAACAGTTTAGCATTCCATACTCATCATGTTTGTCCCACACCCTGTTCTCCATGCTCTCACTGCATAGTTTGAGTCTTTCTGCCCTATTTGTTCATCCCCCCACCTCCTTAAGTGGCATGCAGAGAAGTTCTATCAACTGATTTATGATTCAAGTATAAATCTACATGAAATGTAAACACTTGGAATATTTTCATTGAGACCATTGCTGTAAGAGTAGTAAAGCCAGTAAGACTTTGTTTCTTGTTGCTGCAAGCCCAATGTAATATAGTGAATTTTTCTTATTCAGTGGCTGCCAGCATCCAGCTTGGTAGAATTCTGGATAGAAGCAGCATCATTTAGGAATCAATTGCATCCTATAACCAACAATATGTGAAGAGTCTTGAGCAACTCCCACCAATATATTGTTACCTGAGAATGTTGCCACAAAATGTAAGCAAAGGTCCCTCCTGCCCATTTGTATTGGCCACATAAATCACTATCGTATGAACATTTATTTTACAATTATCAATGCTAATAATTTGATCAAAATTCAAGTAAAACTTATTAATTGACACAAGGTCTACATGCTCAAGCATCTCAGTCAAAATTCATATATGCCATTGATGTGATCGTGTGTTGGTTGAGCACATCTTTAGGTTTTCTTTTACATACACACATACTAAAAAGCATACTACAAACCCTAACCAGTTTTTGGGCAAGGTGTTGGAGCGGGTGGTGGCGGGACAACTCCAAGCACTCTTGGATGAAAATGATTATCTGGACCCATTTCTGTCCAGCTTCAGAACCGGGTACGGTACAGAATCTGCCTTGGTCGCCCTGTATGATGACCTGTGCAGGGAGAAGGACAGGGGGAGTGCATCCCTGTTGGTTCTCCTGGACCTCTCAGCAGCTTTCGATACCATCGACCATGGTATCCTTCTGGATAGGCTAGCGGGATTGGGGGTTGGAGGCACTGCTTTGCAGTGGTTCTTCTCCTATCTCAATGGCTGATTCCAGAAGGTGGTGCTGGGGGACTATGGCTCTGCACCATGGCAGCTATGCCATGGAGTATCGCAGGGGTCCATTTGTCCCCTTTGCTGTTTAACGTCTACTTGAAACCACCGGGAGAGGTCATCAGGAGGTGTGGGCTGCAGAATCATCATTACACTGATGATACACAGCTCTACCTCTCATTTTCCACCAATCCAGGTGAGGCAGTGACTGTGCTGAACCGGTGCCTGGCCGAGGTAATGGGTTGGATGAGGGCCAATAAACTGAAGCTCAATCCAGACAAGACGGAGGTCCTGTTGGTCGGCGGATCGAGCTTGGTGAGGGTGAATTGAACCTAGTCCTGAATGGGGTTGCACTCCCTCTTAGGGACAAGGTCTGCAGCTTGGGAGTGCTCCTTGACCCAGAGCTTTCACTGGAAACTCAGGTGACAGTGGTGGCGAGGAGCGCTTTCTTTCAGGTTCAGCTGATCCATCAGCTGCGCCCCTACCTGGCGTTCGACTGCCTGGCAACAGTGACACACGCGTTGGTGACTTCCTGACTTGACTTCGGCAACGCACTCTACGTGGGACTACCCTTGAAGATGGTCTGGATACTTCAATTGGTTCAGAATAGAGCTGCCAGGCTGTTGATGGGGACTGGGCACTATGCTCACATGACTCCAGTCCTCTGTCAGCTTCACTGGCTTCCCATTGAAGTCCGGGCCCAATTCAAGGTGTTGGTGATCACTTATAAAGCCCTATATGGCTTGGGTCCTGGCTACCTGAAGGAGCGCTTACGTCCATATATGCCCGCATGCCCACTGAGATCTGCGGGAGAGGCCGTTCTCCAGGAACCTTCCGTGAAGGAAATTAGGAGGATAGGTACTCGGAGGAGGGCTTTCTCTGTGGTGGCGCCCAATCTATGGAATGCGCTCCCCAGAGAGGTCTGCCTGGTGCCGTCGTTATTTGTTTTTCGGCGCCAGGCAAAGACCTTTCTATTCAAGCATCATTTTGTTAATGTTATATTTAAAGTTTTTTGGCCAGGGCGACTTATTTTATACAGTTATGTGTATTTTATATTGTTATTTATGTATTTTAATTTATTTATTTGTAAGCCGGCCCGAGGCTTCGGTGAATGGGGCAGCCAAGAAATTTTCTAAATAAATAAATAAATAAATAACCCTGCACAGAGTGGGGAAAGGTTGCAATGGATTTTAAAAAAAAATTAAAATCAGATTTGTGTACAACTTTAAAACTATCATCTAAAAAACATGGGGGTCTTCTCATTCTTCATATATAATGTTCATTGTACTTTTAACAGTTTTTTTTTTATTGATTGATTGATTTAGGAGACTTCTATGCTGCCCCATTCGCCGAAGCCTCAGGGCAGCTCACAACCATAAATAAACTTCAAAATAGAATAATATAAATTAACAATATAAATTAAGTCACCCTGGCCAAAGAATAAAAAGAATTAATAATATTAACAATTAAAATAACATTTGAATAAAAAGGGCTTCACCTGGCACTGAAAAACAAATAACAATGGCGCTAGGTGGACCTCTCTGGGGAGCATATTTCCTAGATTGGGCGCCACCACAGAGAAAGCCCTCCTCCGAGTACTCACCTTCCTAATTTCCTTCACGGAGGGTTCCCAGAGAAGGGCCTGTCCTGCTCAGCGATTTTCTCCCTGAAATGCTTGGCAAAGTCATCACAGCGGGCCTTCGAGTGTGGAACCAGATCTTTCTTAGGGCCAGGGTGGACCAGGCCTTGTACCACTCAAAAAAGCTCTGCTGGACAGCATTTTGAGGAGGCAATGCAAATGGAGAAGAATTTCTTTTTCGCCTCCCTCACCGCCACAGCATAGGCCCAATAATGGGCTCTTAAGTGTGTTCGGTCAGATTCATCCCGTGATCTCCTCCACCTATGCTCTAGACGTCTCCCAGCCTGCTTCATCGCCCACAATTCAGATGTATACCAAGGGGAAGAGTGGGCTCTCCCTGGCGGGAGAGGACGCTTAGGAGTGATCGTGTCAACAGCCCTAGTCATCTCCCCATTCCATAGTTCGACCAGAGCCTCGACAGGAGCACCAGTCTTGTCAGCCAGAAACCAGTCAGCACCAGTCTTGTCAGCCTTATAGAGGGAGAGGTGGCTCTCGAGCACAAACCTCACAAGGAAGTGATCTGACAATGACAGGGGTGTCAGACATAAATTCCTCACCCTCAGACCACCCTGCTCCTGCCCCATTGAGAAAACCAGGTCCAGAGTGTGTCCACATTCATGGGTCGGGCCAGTGATATGTTGAGACAGCCCCATGGCCATCATGGAGGCCATGAAGTCCTGAGCCGCCCCGGTCAGACTAGCCTCGGCATGGAGATTGAAGTCCCCCAGGACCAACATCCTGGGGGTCCTCAACACCAGGTCCGAGATGATCTGTCAGCTCAGGCAGGGAGACTGTTGGGCAGAAGGGGCACGGTACACCAACAGAATCCCCAATCTGTCTCGGTCGCCCAACACCAAGTAGAGGCACTCTAGCCCCGGCCTCGAAGGGACTGGAAGTCCCGTGAGGGAGATGGAGGCTTGGTAAACCAAAGTGACCCCCCTCCCCTACCCTCCAGGCGTGGACAGTGCTGAACCAGATACCCGGGTGGGAAGATTTGAGAGAGAGCAACATCCTCCCCCTCTCCCACCCAGGTCTCGGTTATGCAAGCCAGGTCGGCCCCCTCATCCACAAGCAAGTCATGGATGAGGGAAGATTTATTGTGGACTGACCTGGCATTAAGCAGCAGCACCATCAGGCCTGAGGGGCGGTTGACAAGACTACCTGGAACCCTCTGGCTGGGGGCAGAACCAGAAGGAGGGATGGGTGTCAGCCATCTGTCCCTCCTTCTTCTATGCGGACACGTTAATCCCCCACCACTGTAACGTCTATTGCCTGTGACCACCCCAATGGCGGCGCCCACTTGCTCCCCAGGAAACTCAACTGTCGACATGGCCAGGGATGACTCCATAAAAACAAATTAAAATACAATAAAACTTTAAAACAGTAAGAAAACACCCCATCTACCCCCCCAATACATAATTCCACCCACTGACCTAGCCCCCTGCCAGCCCAGCCCCGCACGGCCACTAACGGCCACAAATGGCGGCGACTGCCCTTTGGTCATCGCCCTTTGGCCACCGGCAAGAGGCTGCTGGCCCAGGCCACGTCCGGTGGGTTAAGCCGGCACCCGCCTGCACACCCCGCCCCAATCCGGAGTTGTTCTCACTGACGCTGGTGGGGGGGGGAGCAGAGAGGGGCGCGGAAAACCACCCGGTGGTGAGTTGGCTACGCCCTCCTCCACACCATTGACAGCGGCCCCGGCATGGCCCTGGTGTCCTCCATCCCTGGGGTGGCCCAGTGGTGGCTGAGGGAGCAGCATCAGCTGGACCCCGGCTCTGCAATGCACCTCAGATCCGGGGGTGGCAGCGGCAGCAACGGCAGCAGCACGGTGCGGCAGGTGTTCTGGGGAGGGAGGCAGAGGGAGCTCCAATCTGGCCCAGCCCCAGGCCACGTCCGGTGGGTTAAGCTGGCACCGGCACACCCCGCCCCAATCCAGTGTTGCTCTCACCGAAGCCGGTGGGGGGGGGGCAGAGAAGGGCGCGGCAACCCACCTGGTGGCGAGATGGCGGCACCCTCCTCCGCACTGTCGACAGCAGCCCTGGCGTGGCCCTGGCGTCCTCTGTCCCCGGGGTTGTCCTGCAGTGGCCGCGGGAGCAGCATCAGCTGGCCTCCGGCTCAGCGGTGCACCTCAGGTCCGGCTCTGGCAGCGGCGGCAACGGCAGCAGCATGGCGCGGCACGGCAGGTGTTCCGGGGAGGGAGGGGGAGGGAGCTCCAATCCGGTTCCTTTGGCCAATTGATGTGTGTCTCTATTTAGATTTATTTCAGTGGGTAACTTCATGCAACGTGACAATCTGCATTTAATTATAGCTAACACTGTATGAGTGGGTTAAAAGCAACCCATGTGCTCAAGGCCTAGCATAGGTTGTCCCACTGTCCTTCTCCCTCCATTCTGCTATGCATTCTCTTGAGAGCTGTCCAGTGGTGAGCTGAGAACATAGTGAAAACAAAGTCACAGGGGGATCTTTGCTCACAAGGGGGGTGGCAAGTACCCATACCTTTCACAGTGAGATACTCAGTGATTTCAGTGTGGATCTGACCATTCTTCATGTCCTCCATCTTTTCTACACTTTTTTTGGGATTCTAGGTTCCCAGGAAGGATGAAAAGTACAGACCTCTACCTTTTCAGGAATGCTCCTTTTGACAGCTATCAAATTGAACCCTTTCCTTTAACATAGAAATTCAGATACCCGGCATTGATTCCCACCTTTTTTTTTTTTTTTTTAATAAAGGTGTAACCATTAATACACTGAGCTTCTAGATCTTATAATGAAAATTAGATTTGTTCTGATAAACAGATGAATTTGAAATAGAATTGAATAAGTATTTCACTCCCATGAGTAATTTGTCATTCTCTGATGATCAAAAATTTGCTGGCTAATAATATTTTCAAATTCTGTACAAGTCTGTGTGTCCTCACTGCGTAGTTGGTTTGGACTCCAGAGACTAAATCTCCAACTACAGAAAATCATATTAAGTAACCTGCACTCCATGGAGATAATTTCTCAGGACTACCAAGGATAGAACTTTTGAATTTTCTCCAAGTGAAAATCTAGAAAGACTTTGATAAAATTTCAGAGGTGGCTGAACACAAAGATTTTATCCACTACAGAAAGACTGTCTAAATATTTATATATCTTTAGTGCTCAATAAAGTTTTCTGAAGGGTGGACCAAATCTGAAGAAAGCCTGCTTCTTGGAGGTGAGCAGCCCACCTATGAAACAGCACAGACATGCTGGCCTCTCCTACTGAAATCGATTGGATAAAGCATGTTACATTTTGGATGGATTGAGCCCCATATTATGTCTAAAGCTGCACGATTGGTGGGCAATCCATCTAACTGAAAAATTTCAACCTTTCCTAATGGGATTGTGCTCTCCCAAAGGGACAAGGTACATAGCTTGGGGGTGCTCCTTGATCCTGAGTTGTTGCTTGTCTCACAAGTGACCTCAGTAGCCAGGAGCACCTTCTATCTTCTTAGACTGATTTTTCAGATAGTTTCCTACTTGAAAGAGTGGAGCCTGGCCACAGTCATCCATGTGCCAGTAACCTCTCACCTGGATTACTGCTCTATGTGGGGCTGCCCTTGAAAATTGTCTGTGCACTCCAGCTAATTCAAAACAGAGCAGTGCTGCTGTTAATGAGAAATGCTGCTAGAGAGCACATTACTTCAGTCTCCACCAGCTGCATCAGATGAAATAGTTTTAATCTTGTTTGGCTTTTATGGATTACGCTACTGGTGGTTGTTTCTGTGAGCCTCCCAGAGAGACTTTGGGCTATTTGGAGGCATACAAATGTAATAAATAAATAGAGAAATAAATCAATAAACTTCCTAGAGAGATTATGCACTCTGTCCTGAACTATAGTGAGTATAAAATCACCTAAAATGCTTCACTTTATCAGAACTGAAATGGCTGCTATTTTTACCTCTGCTGTTCTGTACTGTTTTAATGTTTCAGAATGATATGTAAAGATATACTTTATGAGCAAGATATTCATTTTAAGGTGCTGTAGGAAT